GCCCTCCCCTATTGGCAATCATTTGCCCTGTGCTAAATAGAAAATAAAAAATATATACTTGACTGATTTTAGCACCTTGCAGTAATTAGTAATAGGTCTAGAATCAAAACATTTATAAATGCTTCTGACTTATTATTATTATTTGTCTATAATTTTTTATTATCTTCTCTGGCACGAATGCAGTCTTGACAATTTGCTGTATAATTGTTGATCACTTATAATTGGGCGAAATATGTTTACAAGCCTGGCCATTCTTTTGGATTTGTAGCTGCATCTTTGGTTTATTCACCACTTCACATTTTCGTCCTTAAAAAGAGAAAATACACTACATGTGTAATAGCATATAAATATCAACAGTCCTTTATTATTACAGTAGAAACGTCAAATGTTTTTGCCATTTCTCCACATGTTTTACTACAGAGCAGGCCTCTTGGTTAATATTTTGCCATGCACACAGGCAGGTATTTGACTTATTGCTTTTAGTGCAAATCATACAATTTATTTTCTTTGTTTAACTGTGTGATAAAGTAAACTATAAAATTAAAAATATGTATTGTTTTAAGTATTGTGTTGAAGATAAATTGATTCACTAGTTAAATAAAAATTACCATGATTAGAATCCAGAATTGTTGATCCCGGTTTAAAAATTTGTTTTATTTCTTCATGAATAAAATAACGTAGATCCACAATCATGGTCGTCTGCTAGGTCCATGTTTTCATATTCTGTGGAATCATTCACTTCTTCACTATTTTTTTGTTTACTTTGAATATAAAAAAAAAAAACAGGATTAATTACAGTAGCTTTTTGTGTGTTAAAATAAATATAAGTATAGATATTTGATAAATACAAACCAAAAATTATTTTTGAAATCAACAACAATTGTATTTATTAACTCACCACATTATTTATGCGAACATTAATTGATTGTTATGTTTTCATGGTAACTTTTACAAAATAAATGGTATACTGTACTGCTAAGAATAATAGCATTACCATGAAAAAAATGCAGAACTTATACTCCCAGTAGGACTTCTTATTGGAACAATATTTTCATAATCCTGCTCATCTTCTTGATCCGTGGCTGCATCGTCCATGGATTTAATCAAATCTTCGCTTAGTTTTTGTTTACTTTAAATAGACAAAAAATATATGAATTACAATAGTTAGTTATTTATTAGATTAAAGTATAGATGTTTGATACAAACCATAAACATTCTTTTCAGAATCAACAACAATGTACCATATTTAATAACATATCACGTTACATAATGCAAGCGTTAATTTATTGTACATACTATAATTTTTACAAAAAACGAGGATGCCAAAGAATAAACAGATTATTTTAATGACTATTACTTAATTTTATTAATATTACCATAAAAAGAATGTAGAAGTGTTACTCCCATCAGGGCCTCTTGTTGGAACAATATTGTCATACTCCTGTGTATCGCCTTGATCCATGCCTGCTTCCTCTGTGGATTCACTTACCTCTTCACCTTGTCTTAGTTTCCTTTGAAAGAAAAAAAAAAAACTTATTACTTATATAAAACTCCTACAAATGATGTATATCAAAACTAAATACAACAAACCTCGACATATCTGTCACAAGCCAGTAAGTTTTTATCTTCAGAATAAAAAATGATCGTATTTATAACATCTCACTACATTGTCACACAAATTACTGTTCAGGAGATGTTAACAACCATCAATCATTCATAGATCGAAACAAATCAGTTTTCGTTAATTACCACAAAAAGTCCCAAATTGGCTATTAGCAAACCTAACTAAATCTTAACACAGAGAGTAAATGTTAATTTTTATAGAAAAAAAATACTAGAAACACAAGATAGAACTCTTGGCAAAAGTGAATGTCTTTCCAACAATGACAATTTATGTATGTTTGTTTACATCCCATCATACGCGCCGCCTCAATTTACTAACTTAAGTCAGTACAGTATACCCATCATGCAATACAGTTTTTATCTGTGAAGCGTCCTATCTCGTGTTTCTAGTATCCAGGGGTGAGCTTACACCTACCAGAAAGTTTTGATAATAACAACCACTGCAACAGTACAAAGAACTGCTCCAATGACGCCACCAATAGCTGCAATCAACTTAGGCCCTTCTTCAGAATCGTCTTGGGAAAAAAAGTTGGAAATATTAGGATTATATAACATTGCGCCTAACTTTCATCAAGTCACTCAATGTCTTTGTGTTTAAAAATTTAAAAACAATTTTTTTTTTTGAACTAGTGTAATTTTTAATTATCTGAAAATACCTACCATTACTCATAAGAGTACTTTTAACAAATACGCTTTCACTGTGTTTATTAGAAACGGTTACCGAAATGACGTAAGTAGCATCAACATCAATGTTGTATATCGCAGTTTTAGTATCAATGCCCTGGTAAACCACATCACCAACTCCTTCATCGTTATTCAATTTTAGATACACAGTGTAGAAATATGTAGAGTTGAAGCACTGCAGAGTCTCTGCATTAACTGTAATTTCCTAAAAAAAAACACCCAATACAATTTTGTAAAAATAAAATGTATTGTTACATTTGGTAAATAAATATAATATATTGTGTTAAAGGATAATTATACTACATAATACACATTGGCTTCATAACAACATCTAAATCTTGCTTGAAAAGAAAATATTATAGATTTATTGCTAATAATACAACATATTATATTAGGCATATAATGTAATGTAATTCAGCACAAAACTTACTGTCCACGTGACAAGAATACTATGTGGGTTTGTATCAGAAACTACGTGGTTGACAATCTGTACAGGACTAGGTTCTACAAAATGGTGCCGGTAAAAACAAGAATCGGTTAATGTATATTATGAGACAGAGTTTATACCTATATCGAATAATATCAAATATATGACATATATGGAATAAAGCTAAACACAACAGCTTATCATGTTTTGAGTCTCAACATTCAGTTAGTTAATAACTTACGTCCGCAAAGAGTTGACGCGCTGATACGCTGCATTCCAATTGAACCTTTGCCGCCTTCATCATGTATCACGGCTGACAAAGCAAAAGTGTAAATTGTATCCCACAGCAACCCTGAAGCACTTCCAGACAAAGAGTTCAGAATTAGGCTTTGTTTCCAATCATCTGCATTGCCATTGCTAAGTTTATAGTAAAGAATGTATCCAATAACAGGCCTGTCTGTAGGGTTGTCCCATGCAGTCCACTTAATACATATTGTAGAACTTGTAGTAACATCAATCTGCAGACTCCCGTCATATGAAAGCAGAGCTTTTTTGAAATGAAGAAAAATCATTGTCGAAATTAAAATATCATCGAAAAAATGAATGAAATACAAAATTATGAAACTAAAAAATGATTGGGATTGATTAAAATGTATCTGAAATACTTTCACAATATCATTTTCTATGTCAATATTAGAAATGTTTCCATTTTCAAACTTACAGTAGCTTTTGATCATTAAGAGACACTTACCATAATCTACAAGATGACTTTCAGCAAATTCGCCTTCACTGTCTTTATTAGAAACAGTTACCGAAATTGCGTAAGTAGCATCAACATCAATGCTGTATATCGCAGTTTTAGTATCAATGCCCTGGTAAACCACAGTACCAACACCTTCATCATTATTCAATTTTAGATACACAGTGTAGAAATATGTAGAGTTGAAGCATTTTAGCGTCTCTGCATCCACCTCAATTTTCTTTCAATTAAAAATACAATAAACTAGTACATATTTGAAGAACAACTAACTATATCCAGATTTAGACATATTCTAAACTTATAAAAGAATTACATACACTGTAGCTCACATATTCTTTAGAGTTCTAGTTACGGCAGTGCATACTTTGCTTCCTTTGATGGTCCCTGCAGTTGTCATCTTAGTTAATAAATAATTCCCACTGCGCCAAACCACTTCTACAAGTACGTAAAGGCTAAAGGAAAGCGCTACAGAAAAATCACTGCCTTGTATCTCTAAAGAAAGACGTCGATTAGCCATGACAGGTCTAGCAAGCAGATGGTAATTTAGCATCTCCTCTGCTCAAGATTTTATGCAATGAACCCAACTTGACAATATGGCCAAGAAATTGAAGTCATGACAGAATTTGAAAGTTTTTAAAAGATCAGGAATACATATAAGCGAAGCAGACAACGTATGTTAAGTTTGTGCTGCTTTGAGAACGTGTCAGGTTTCAACTAGCAAACTAATGTAGACTACAAGGCGTTAGGGTGAGAAGATAAGACAGTACTATATGTGCAGGATCAACAAGAAATACGTCTAAAGCTTTTTTCCCTGCCCAAAGGTACAGGCAAGATACAGCCTCATATTCTTGCAAAATAAATTTTAACACAAAATTTATTGACAAAAAGGATCGACGTTTCGTGTCCATCATGGACGCATTCTCAAGATCAAGTGAACAAAAATAAATATAAGATAGTAAACCAAGTGTAGGTGACATGAAAGGGATTAACAGTCACATGATTAAAAACTAATACAATAGCACAGTATCATACAAGTACAAGGAATTTCTATGTCCAATAGTCCGATTAATTTAAATTTCATTATGACAGAGAAAAATTAGTTTTTTAGAAAATGGTTTTTTTTTAGTCTGAAAACACAGTATGTCATCTAGATCTCGACATCATGGCCACCATGGTTTTCATCGAACAGATGTTAGACAGTTTTACTTAACATTTTATCAAATATTTTATTATTTGAAAGTTGACTAATAGAATTCCTATTATAATATCAAGTGATTTTGATACAAAACTTACTGTCCAAGCAACTAGTATACTCGGTGGATCTGTTTCGAAGAGGTCATGGGTCACATTCTTAACTGGCATAGGCTCTAAGTGCAATAGTAAAACATTACTGTAATGAGTCACTGTACATAATTAAATTTCAATTTAATTCAATATATTCACATAATGCATCTTATTGTAGGTGATGTTAAATGAGTTTAGGGTACAATATTTCAAACGGTTAGGGCAGTATCAAGAGATTTTAGAATGGGATAGGTAGTTTGAGTTGGTGCAATTGCTGGTTGCCTTTTTTGAGTTTGAAGAGTTTGTCTAAGTCTAGTTCTAAGTTTGATGTTTCTGTGCTGAACCATGGACTGACTATTTGGTGTTTTGAATCTGTAACTGACCACGCAATGTTGAAGCATGTTGGAATATGATAGATGTAGAAGAGACCAACTAGCTGGCAGTTTATTGTCTATAAAGACACCAAGAAAATGTGTTTGGTCAACTGATTTGAAAGAAATATAAGAGTTCCTCTTTGTTAGGCCAAATACTTTTACTAGTCAAATCACTTACACATTTTTGTATTTAATAATTTTAGGTATGATTACAGTTAATTTTAAGCTATGTAGTTTATTTCATTTTCTTATGGTATTTGTTTCAATTTAAAACTTACTTCCGCAAAGACTTTTAACTTTAATTCTCTTCATTCCCATTGGACCTTCACCGCCTATACCAGGTCTTACGGCTGACACAGCAAAAACGTAATAAGTATCCCACAACAAACCAGAAACAGTTCCTGACAATGAGTTCTGAAATGGTGATTGTTTCCAATTATCCGCATCGCCATTGCCAAGTTTGTAGTGAAGAATGTATCCAATAACAGGCCCGTCTCCACTGCCTGTAGTATTGTCCCATGCAGTCCAGTTAATACTTATCGTAGAACTTGTAGTAACATCAAGCTGCATACTTCCGTTATATAAAGGCACCACTTTTTTCAAATTAAAAATAGTTATTCCAAGATTATATTTCAAAAATCATAATTAATTCTGATACACATCATAATGAATACAGTACATTTGACACCAGTTACAAATTTGTAAAATACCACACACCAAATAGCGAATCTTTCTCATGCAATTGTTGTATTACGTTAATTATTTTTTTTAATTATTTATTGTAATTAGTGATTTAAGTATAACATAATGTCCACAGAAAATATTAGCGATTATGCTACAATTTCATTTGTATGTGGCATCATGTTTAATTTACAGCATGTGTTAGCGTTTTAGTCAGTTGTATCCAATAGACCACAGAGACCTAGGATATACGTGCGGTTCTAACCCCCAGGCAGTTTTGAATACAATTGACCAAAACGCTCACACACACTATGTTTAAGAGCGTTACAGACAGTTGTATGAGAGAAAGTGCCTGGGGGTTAGAACTGCACGTATATCCTATAGGTCTCTGTGGTCTATTAGATACGATAGTCGCCTTGACAGCGAGATTTTGCAGGTTCAAATCCCAGGATCCACGTATGTCTCACAGAAATACTAATAAACGAAAATGGAAATAAAACAATTGCATACGTTGACATAATAGAGACAGAAAATTTGTTCAACACAAATATTTCTGACATGCTTGTGTCCTTGCTCAGCGTAAGCCTTTGAGAAAATAGGTTAGGATACTAATTTAGTAGGCCAAAGAACTAGTACCAGCTTAAACTATCAGTGTTCTTGAAAAAAGCTAGCGAAAGCTTGTGTCTCAATAAATTTTGTTACTGTACAGTACTGTACGTTGAAGTGTTTTTTCGCGCGAATATACTTTTGTGATATTTTTATTTTCGCGGTAGCTCCTGTATGCGCGAAAACTGTGAAAATTAATGTACCGCGAAAATTACCACTTTTACAGTAGTCTGGAGAATGCGCTACTGTACTCATTTCATTTGTATTTTAAGGAATAGAAATATACAACTCCTATTTTTATTATTTGAAAAAAGATATATTTATGAAGTAAGAAAATATATAATTTTAGTAAAAGTATTTCTCTTAGATTTAACATCCACGTGAAATTTCGCCTAGTGTAAACCCCCTTAAAAGACTTAAAAACAAAAAGCAATTAGGTCTATTTTATTACCCTGTTTCCATATTACATTTGTGATAAACACTTAAGCCCTGACTAGACTATCAAATTTTATTTGACAAAAACATGTGACATGCCTAAATATGGTCATGATGACATCACATCATGACCATATATAGGCACATCATTACTATATAAGGTGTTTTTTTTTGTCAAAGAAAATTTGATAATCTTGATAGTGCTTTAGAATAGCTCACCGATTTCGCAGTTGGGTTCAAGCCAATTTGAATCACACGACACAAATTTTCCCGTCAATCTCTGACATGTACATGGTTTAGTGCTCTTCTCTTTACAGTTAGTTCCAAACCATCCAGTTTCACATTCTACAAAAAAACATACACAGTCCACAATGGCAATTTAACATTCTGAAACCTTAATGATTGGGATCGCTATGAAATGCACCATCAATGCTTTTAAAAATATCACTCTAAATGTCAATCGTTTCCAGTTTCAAATTAAGTTTAGTACAGTAATTTTTTTTTTTCAAATATCAATAATTAATTCAATACATTCATGAACATAACGAACAAAGAAAAACAAATTTTAATTATATTCCAATATTAATAAAATGAAAAAAATATTAAAAATTATTGTAATGGAAATAATATACAGTAATATACAGTTCACTGTCTGTAACAACAGATGATTGGTAATAGAATAACCACACACCAAAATGCAAATATCAAATAACTATTTAATAAATACATGAATATCATCAACAAAATAATTGTAATGATATTCCAAAATTAAAAGTTAAAAGTTTAAAATTATTGGAATGCTATTGTAATGGTAATATAGCTAGTTATGGTAAGCCCTCTTTTGTTTATATTTAATATGTCAGTGATATTTATCTACATATTTCATTTATCTGCAGATGATCACACACTTTCACATCCTATTCACAATATTGATGATTGTATAGCTCTTCAGAAGGATTTAAATATAATATTTAGATATTTAACAGGATGTAAAGATGTAATGTCATGATTACACTATTGACTCTAAAAGCAGAAGAGTACAAGTTGCTTGGTGTTTTATTTAAACTGTAAATTAACATGTCATACTCAAGTTAACTATATATGTTCTAAGGCTAGTGGAATTCTTGGTTTGTGACAAGGTGCAGTAGAAACATATTTTGGAAAGCAATGTTTTACTTGTATAAGATAAATTTTTACCAACTCACTCTCACCAAGTACTATATCTCAATGTATTGACTACATGTATTTATTTTTATATTTGCTTACTTTTTTTAATCTGATTGTTTATTTATGACCTTTGCCTTTGATTGTTTTTATCAATTTGTAGTTTGACGTTGTAGATTTTGTATTTGTGTAGTGTAAGTAAAGAGGAGAGTGCAAATTGTTTTGTTCGGGCTAATTGCCTATTCTCTTTCTTGGCAAATGATATATATCTTGAATGCCAAATAAATATTGAATAATAATATGTCGTTCTTATATCTTCACATTACTACCCCGGTCATTGGATCAAACACATATGGAACACCAAATTAAATTATTAAATGAAATTATATTATCATTCCATAATATTGCAGCTAGTAATCAGCGCAGGTTGTGTTGGAACCTACCAGGTACCCACTTGTACTCCTGGGTGGAGAGAGGCAACCATAGATAAAGTGCCTTGCCCAAGGACACAAGAGATTTGCACAGCCAGAGTTTCGAACCCCCGACCTCAAGGTTGGGAGTCCAAGCCACAACTGGTGGGCCAACCGCTCCTACAATAAGTTATATTATATTTATAGTTATATAATATTATTATTATAATATACCGTTCACTCTCTACGTCAACAAATGGTTGGTCTTACAATAACCACACACTGGAATGCAAAAATTTCAAAAATAACTATTTAATAAGTTCAAGAATATCATTAATAATCAATGAAAAACAAATTTTAATAATTCTTCAATATTTAAAAAAGTGTAAAATTATTGGAATGCTAAATGTTGATTGTAATGGTAATTATATAGCTTAGAAGTTAAATATTCACTGTCTGTAACAACAGATGGTTTGTGCATAAAATAACCACTTCTACACTTATCAAATGACCACTTTAAATTCATGAATATCATCAACAAACAATAAAAAACAAATGTTAATATTCCAATATTAAAATAAGTTTTAATATTATTGGAATGCTACAGCTAGGTAGGACTGACGAAATGGATTTTTGAAGAAAGGTGTGAAGGGAGACGAGGAAGGGGAAGAAGAAAGAAATGTTGGATGATCCGAAAAATGGTAGATATGACACAAGATCATGAAGCATGGAGAACATATGATAATGTGCCTATGAGCTGAGCGTTTGGCTAATTGGGATGGTTCCTGCTTCTTGCACGCCAGGGCCCTGGTTCGACACCCGGCTCTGCATCGAGTATTGAATTCGTGTCTTTTATAATAACAAAACGCTCAGCTCCTTGAATAACCCTCTCAGGAGAGTTAGTTGAGTTAAGGACCATGTATGTATCAGTCTGTATCTGTTTGATATTGTAGAGTAAGTGGGGTAGTTGGCGCCGAGCTATGGCAGCTGCGGGTCCCCGGACCCAGCCCAAATTTCCCAGTGTGTAGGCATACATATACAAGGACAAATAAAGAATTATTATTGAACTTATTGAACTTTCAGACAAGGCCTGCCTTTGACAGAATACTGATGATGATTATGATGATAGCTAGTTAACATACACAGTTCAATGTCTGTAGCGACAGATTGTTGGTATGCATAGAATCACCACTTCTACACTAGAACGCAAATATCAAATAACTATTAATAAATTAATTAATATTATCAACAAAGAAAAACAAATTGTAATGCTATATATATATATATATATACTACCTTTATTCGGCTCTTAAGTGGAATATATATACTGTCTCTTATACACATCTCAATACTTGATTGAGTAAACTGATTTTAAATTTCAGTTAACCAATTTTCTTAAACTTCCACAAGTGAAGTGTCATCCCACATGGTGTTATGACGGGCGTTCCATATTGTTTAACTGGTTAAAATAGCAATTCTACTTAGGCTTTTCTTTAGCACTTTACTTTTTTTTTTCATTAGTGTTAAATATATATTTTAATCTCTTTGCGTTATTTGGTGTTACGATCCCTCTACTTCCCACTTCTATACAAAATAATTCGCATTGAAAACCTGTTAGCACCTGTTATAAAGCTGTCTCTTATACACATCTAGATGTGTATAAGAGACAGGTATGTATCAGTCTGTATCTGTTTGATATTGTAGAGTAAGTGGGGTAGTTGGCGCCGAGCTATGGCAGCTGCGGGTCCCCGGGGACCCAGCCCAAATTTCCCAGTGTGTAGGCATATAAATAAATAAAGAATTATTATTGAACTTGAAATGTGATAAAGTTTTTAAATATTTGTTAAAAATGTGATTCTAATATTGTGTGCTTATTAAGAAATAAATTTTAACACATTTCAGGAATGACAATTATTCTTTTTATCTTGTTGCTAATTCATATTTGTAATTACACAATTGGCTCATGTGTGATTTAATGTCACCTCCACAAGAACTAGAAAAAGTTTGCCCAGACTCTGTGTTCTTATTTTTTGGCTAATTTCATTACTTTACTGTATGTAACTAGTTTGATTTGTAGTTTTTTCATAAATACATTTTTAATAAAAATATTATTTGACATTTTATCACAGCTTCAAATTGTTCTTGTTTTCTAAGCAATTTAGCCCCGTAATGTGTTTCATATTTATAATAATATCACTTTAAATGTCAATAGTTTCCGGTGTCAAATTAAGTTATAGTACAGTAATTATTGATCATTATGAGGTACCTACCATAATCTACAAGTTGACTTTCACCGAATTCGCCTTCGCTATCTTTATTAGAAACAGTTACCGAAATGGCGTAAGTAGCATCAACATCAATGTTGTATATCACTGTTTTAGTGTCAATGCCCTGGTAAACCACATCACCAACTCCTTCACTGTTATTCATTTTTAGATACACAGTGTAGAAATATGTAGAGTTGAAGCATTTCAGTGTCTCTGCATCCACCTCAATTCTCTTTCATTTCAAAGTATAAAAAATACACAGTAAATAAAAAAATAATATAAAATTCAAAAAAAAATAGACTTTCTATTTATATATACAGTATTCTGTAGCATACAGATCCATTTAAAATTTTTTTTTTTTTACACTGATACAATATAGTGACAAACACTAAACCACCTTCCAGTAATGCTTTAATAAGAACATTTTGAATTTTGAAAAATAGTAATGATTGTGAAGAAAAATTCTTGTGCTGTCTCTGCAAATGTCTTTACCAACTGTGAAATTGAAGGTGGCTCACTGGGAATTTAAATTTGATCAGAAGAAATTTATTCTTTACACTCCTGCACATGCGTGGAACAATGCTTGTTCTAAATGCATTTCATATAACAGAGATCAATATGATACGCCTTCATCAACTTTTAACGACAAGACAGGATCTTTGAAAAAAAAAAAATTTTTTTTCAACAAATCATTTATTTTTAAGTTTTACTAATAACAGGTCTATTATAAAGACATCAAATGATTTTGATACAAAACTTACTTTCCATATGACTAGTATACTAGGTTGGTCTGCTTCGATGATGTCATGGGTCACATTCTTAACTGGACTAGGTTCTAAAAACAAGGGTAAGTACATGAATGAGTTTTTGTTTGTCCAAATACATTAGCAGTAGTAGGCATACTTTACATTCTTGTTTATTTATTAATTCAGATATGATAACAGTTAATCTTAAGTTCAATATAGTTTCACCTTGGTATTTAAAATTAAAACTTACTTCCGCAAAGAGTTTTTGCTTGAATTCTCTTCATCCCTATTGAACCTTCACCGCCTATACCAGGTCTTACGGCTGACACAGCAAAAATGTAACTTCTATCCCACAACAAACCAGAAGCAGTTCCTGACAGTGAATCCTGAAATGGTGTTTGTTTCCAATCATCCATATCGCCATTGCTAAGTTTGTAGTGAAGAATGTATCCAATAACAGGCCCATCTCCACCGTCTGTAGTGTTATCCCACGCAGTCCAGTTAATACTTATCGTAGAACTTGTAGTAACATCAATATGTAGACTCCCGTTGTATAAAGGCAGAACTTTTTTTTCGAAATTAAAATAGTTACTGTCATAATCATAATTTAAAAATTATAATCCTTTGTAGTTTGTCTTACACACAGGGTAAAATACTACATACCAAAATAGGAAATTTTTTCTAATGAAATGTATGTGTTATGTTAATTATAAACAATGTTACCAAACGGTCTACATAAGACTAGAACAAGCCATTTATTGTTATAGCAGACATGTTCTGAGAAAGCCAATTCTCAATCTCATTATGCTATATTATGTTTTATTTTATAACGTAATTAGTGATTTATGCAGAAGATAATGTCCACAAAAAGTATTAGAGATTATCTTACAATTTCATTTGAATGTGGTATCTTGTTTACTTCTAAAGCAAAGTTTTTTTTTTAAAGATCAGTTATTAACTACAGGTACTTACAATTATTTAAGCTTTTATTAGAATTTTCAAAAAATAGTTTTCTATTCCAAAATTATTTGTCCAGATTTGGAATGTGTTAGCACCTGTTATAAAGGATAATTTTATTTGCGACTTTTCTACATGTTAAAAAAAATGTCGCAGGATTTACATTATGCAACATGTTGTTTCTGAGTTTTTCATTTGCCTATTAAATTATCTATATTTAGTGTCTCTTCCAAGAAATCCAATGTGTCGTAACATGTCGTTACTAATGTACGTTACTAATGTACAGCTGAGGGCACATCTTCAGATCTTTGATCGTTCCTGAGTGCACCAATTAGTGCTATTGGTAGTTACTTAATGGAACATGTTTAGAATGATAAAAGACTACAAAACAAAACAGGGGTTTCAAATTTTAAAAGCGTCCAGCGTCGCTAATTTTTAACGGACGTGCAGGACATTTTGACACACAAAATAGAGGGGATTTCCAACAAACGTTCATCGCCCTTTTTTAAGTTGGACCCCATGGTTCCCCCTAACCTACAAATCAAAACAGGGGTTTCAGCAAGGAATGTACATAACTGCCATTTACCACTATCGTAATAGTGCACGTCGCATGAATGGCGCGGACGGTTAAGGGCTGTCTCTTATACACATCTAGATGTGTATAAGAGACAGTATATATATATATTAATTTGGTTTGGAAATTTTTCTTATTCCAGACTCACCAATCCATATTGTATATATTTGTCATGTGTTACAGAATGGAGTGAAGATGCTAAAATTAAAATATCACTTACGAAATATTCCAGGAAGGATAATGCTTTGTGCTGATTCTTTTGCATGTAGAATTACACAGGTGTATGTCGAATCGATATCAGATATTACAGAGAAATTATATGACGTAATTTGCTGGCTCTCTTGTGTCTGTAACACTGCTGTAATGTTTACTGTTACATCAAGTTTTGTTACCATAACAAAGGAGTAAACAGCATCTGCACCACCATGGTATACCTCACAAGTAACATCTGTCATGTGACCATCGTTTGCTGGTGAAAATATAGTATTAACGATTCCTAAAAAAAGCAGTATAATAAATACTAAATAAAGCTTGACTATCATAAACAGCTTTCTAACAAAAACTTTTTTAGTAGATAGTTAGTAGATATTGTTTGTATTATCTCAATCAGAATTATTATTATTATCTCAATTCATTAGAATAAGCCTAAACTACAACCAATTGGAACACGAAAATATAGGAAAGGCCTTGGGAGGGTAGGTGATGATACTGATTACTATAGGCTAAAGACCTAGTACAATAGCACACCTAGATGATCACAACACTTTGACAAGATTTTTTTCTGCAGTAAGAAAATGTGGCAAAGACAAGCTAAACCAGTCACTCGTCGCAAATTGTGTTTCAGAGAAAATAGCAAAAACATGCTAGAATGTAAAATTTTTAAAAATCAATTTTATTTCACTAAACTTAGGTTTATGTATCTATACATCATGCTGTGCTGTTATTTTTCCCAATTACAATGTTAAAACAACACTTTTTAATGATTTTGTAATAGTTTCTGCATGAGAAATGCCTGAAATCATAAATTTTGAAGGCTGATTTCTCATATATTGTTCTTTAAACAGCTGTATGTTTAAATGCTTGTAACCTCATAAGGAAATGTCAGATTTGAATGATTTTTTACCATTTTATAGCTCCTATTTTACACTTTAATCCTTTTAATAACTCAAAATCGATTTTTGCGACGAGTGACTGGTTTGGCTTGTCTTTGCCACAAATATAGGTGTCTGTGGGATATCAAGTTCGGAGTTATTTATTATTGGATGTCTCTAGATTCATATCCGATTTAAAAAAAAACTTACAATATAAGCCAAACAAGGCTGGGTCTACTTTATTACCATTGCTCAGTATTATATTTGAGACAAACTCTTAGAATAGCTCACCAATTTCGCAGTTAGGTTCAATCCAATTAGAATAACACGACACACAGTTTCCTGTCAATCTGTGACACGTACATGGTTTACTGCATTTCTCTTCACAGTTTTCTCCAAAATATCCAGTTTCACATTCTACAAAAAGAATTTAAAAAAATAAAAAAAGAATAGACAGTAGACAACACTTTTTCGGACACTTCTTAAGAAATTTCTTGATAAAATAAATCAAATATAAAATGCCAAAGATTGAATTTAACATTCTGAAACTTAAACTATTTGGATTGCTAAAAAATTGCTCCATTATACAAAAAATATCACTCCCAATTTCTATACTTTCATATTAAGTTATCGTACAATAATGAATGATCATTAGGAGGTACGTACCATGATTTACAAGATGACTTTCAAAGAATTCGCCTTCGCTGTCTTCATTAGAAACAGTTATCGAAATGACGTAAGTAGCATCAACATCTATGTTGTATATCGCTGTTTTAGTATCAATGCCCTGGTAAACCACATTACCAACTCCTTCATCGTTACTTAATTTCAGGTACACAGTATAGAAATATGTAGAGTTGAAGCATTTTAGTGTCTCTGCATCCATCTCAATTTCCTTTTCATTAAAAATACAATACTGGTACATGTTTAAAGAAAACATTACTATAATTGACTCCGATACTTTTATTTACCAGAAAGAAATACTCAATGCTGTTTAATCTGGTTAGATCTGGTTTCTGGCAAGTATTTCTAGTTCAGGACAATTTTATGTTGGTTTTACTATTTTATGCGTACTGGACACTCTAGGAGAACATTAATGCTTTACTGACGTGGCCACCCACTGAAAAGTACAAATACATAAATTAAAAATATGACATATAAAAATAATAAAATACTATAACAAGTATCAGCGGAAAACGTAATACGTATGTTTTCCTTAAGCAGATGTTAGACAATGGCAACTTAGACCTACACTACACCACAATACAAACTGAACATTTTGATAAAAAGCCTATTAGAGAAGGGTCATTAAAGCATTTCATTATATTAGTTTTATTAATATAATTACGTAAAAATGTGTATAATGTAATTTCACACAAAACTTACTGTCCATTTAACTAGTATACCCTGTGGATCTGTTTCGATGATGTCATGGGTCATGTTGTGAACTGCACTTGGTTCTACAAAATGTCAATTGTGAAAACAATAAACAATCACTCAATGTAGGATATAGATAAAACGTCTTTGTAGGCCTAAATCAGCCTTTTATATAAATTTTTATTTCCTTCATCTATTTAGAGCTTTAACATTTTTTAACTTTAGCGTTGCATTTACAACTTACTACCACAAAGAGTTTTTGCACTGATTCGCTGCATTCCAACAGGACCTTCACCGCCACCACCAGGTCTAACTGCTGACACAGCCAAAGTGTAATTTGTATCCCACAACAACCCGAAAACAGTTCCTGACAATGTAGTATGAATTAGTGATTTTTTCCAGTCATCAGTCTCGGCATTGCTAAATCTATGATGAATAATGTATCCAATAACAGGCCCATCTCCATCGTCTGTATTGTCCCACGCAGTCCAGTTAATACTTATCGTAGAACTTGTAATAACATCAATCTGCAGACTCCCGGTGTATGAAGGCAATTCTGTTAACAATTCAACGAAAGTCATTATTATCATCATATCTGCTTTCCATTGCTCATATAAACATTCTGGGTAGTTGGAGCTGAAATATGAATATACATGATTTTACACAGTTACACTTTCCTAAGTCGACTTTCCCTCATTGAATAACTTCTAAAGTCGATCTTATTTTACACGCAAAATTGTCATGTTTTCCATTAACTAACGATCATCACAATCAACGAAAAACTATTTTTTTAAAACTTATTTGTCTACAGCCCATAATTTTAATCATAAACTTGTCAAACTTAGTCACAATGTTCCATGACCAAAGTTCTCAAAGTATTTAAATGTTAAAGGGTTTAAGGTCAAGGTCACAATAAAAAAAAAACCGAATTTTTCAAGCAGTTTTTTTTTAGAAATTTGTCAAACTTGGCCACAATGTTTCTTTACCAAATATCTGGAAGTGACTAAATTTTGAAGGGTCAAATGTCAAGGACACAATGATCGAAAAAATTGTATAATTTATGCCGTATAGGTGGAAACTTGTGCTTATACTAGATTGCCCGTAAACTGTAAACAAACATCATGACCATTAATTTCAAAGAGATACTTGGAAAACAATTTGGTGTAGTGGTTAGAAGAGTGTTCCCCACACTACCAGACAGGTTCAAATCTCAAGGAGTCAACTTTTTTCTTTTTTTTTTCATTATTTTTTTTATGGGGACAATATGCAGGGGAAATTTATACTGAGGAGAATTATGATGTGGGCAGAGGTATGCACTCTCCTAGTGCCCTCTAGTTTGTCTTGTTTTAGTGAATGGAGTAAATAAATAAAATGTTAAAAATCAAAATATCACTTACGAAATATATCAGGAAGGATAATGCTTTGTGCATATTCATTTGCATGTAGAATTACACATGTGTATGTCGAATCAATATCAGATATTACAGAGAAATTATATGATGTAATTTGCTGGCTCTCTTGTGTTTCTTGTATCACTGCTGTAATGTTCAATGTTACATCATGTTTTGTTACCATAACAAAGGAGTAAACAGCATCTGCACCACCATGGAATACCTCACAAGTAACATCTGTCATGTGACCATTATTTGCTGGTGAAAATGTAGTATTAACGATCCCTGAAAAAAAAAACAAAAAAAAAACAGTATATAATATTAAGTATAGCTTGACTATCATAAACAACATTTTTAAAAAATACTATGAAGATTATATACCAGTATTAGAATCATCCTCAAACTACCAAGAAATTGTAAAGCCTGTTTTTCACTTGGCAAACTTAATTTCATTTTAATGCGCAAGGTCCTTTACCAGACGGTTCTGCTTTCCGCTTCTTGTAGTCACTCTGGCAAATTCTGGATGTCGTACATCTTCCACATTTTAAGAAGCTACTGCGTAATGTGTAGCAAATTTATACTGAGGAATAATTCTGACTTATGTTATGGTTGATAAAATGGCCCTGAAACTGCTAAATACCAGGATGGTGTCCGGCGGGGGATAGTTTAACTAATTGTAGTTAAGAGTAACATACTGTATTTAAGAGTAGTTAAGCTTAGTGGCTGCTGAGGGGACAGTGTTTATGGTCACCCAGCAGCAAGAAAAACCAATAGCTGAACAAAGGGCGGATAAGCTCCTCAGAGTCAACGGCCAACCATTAATTAATTTAAGAAATAGGAGTAGTTTAGTCTCATTGTTATTATGATTATTATTTTTATTTTATTTTATTGTTATTCTTTTATTGTTATTTGCATTTTCTTTTTTTCTCCTATATTATTTCTTTGTAAAGCACATAGGGGCAATATGCAATATGCGCTATATAAATATAACATTATTATTATTATTATTATTAGCAAGAGTAAAACTTCTACCTAACGTGTGTGCACGTTGGGTAAAATGTCATATCAACATCATGGATGAGCCACCTAATTGAAGAAATGTCCAACATTTATACAAAACGAAAACATAGGCAAGGCCTTGGAGGAATTGCTGATCCTGATTACTGGGCCAAAGACCTAGTACAGTAGCACGCCTAGATGATCATAAAATTTTGAAGACAAGCTTTATTTCTGTCGTAGGAAAATATACAGTATGTGTCTGCAGGACATAAGATCAGAAATATTTTAGTAATAGTATGTCTCTAGATTTACAGCCACCTAAAATCCACGGTACATAAAGATGTACTGTCCCTTAAAAATGACCAAAATCATAAAAAATAATTTTTAAATTAACTTGCTCATTTGGCAGTAACATACAAATTACAAACTTGAGAATAGAAATTACTAAATTTAAAAAATGTGTTCCCTGATTTTTGAACTGGATAATTATAATAAAGATAATAAAACACTTCCAGTGACTGGAAGTATTTCTATCATTTTTTCGCTGTAAAATGATGGTTTTTATGGGTAAACATTTTTTAAATACACTAATTTCTATGTTCAAGTTGATAATTTTGATGTTAATTCAAAATGGGCAAGTAAATTTCAAAAATGATTTTTATGATTTTTTTTTTTTTGATTTTTGCAAAGGGACAGTACATCTTTAACCCAAACAAAACAAAACAAAACAGCTGGGCGTACTTATTACCCTTTCTCGTGTAATATTTGAAACAAACTCTTAATAGCTCACCGATTTCACAGTTGGGTTTAAGCCAATTTGAATAACATGACACACATTTTCCCGTCAATCTGTGGCACATACATGGTTTGGTGCATTTCTCTTCACAGTTTTCTCCAAAAAATCCAGTTTCACATTCTGCAAAAAACCAAATCAAATAATAACAATTAAAAATTAATATTAACATTCTGAAACTTAAATTATTGGGATTGCTAAAAAATGTACCATAAATACTTTCAAAAATATAAACTATCTATTTTAAAGCCCCATTCCCGGCAAAATTTCACTAAAAATGACTTTTTTGCATTACTCCAATTATTATAAATCATGGAAAAATATTGGCATGAATTTTAGTTTTACGCAAAAGAATAAAAAAAATTAGAAATACAGACTATTCTCATAAAATATTACCATTTTCTCGACGAATTCATCGTTACTAGGCAAATTCAGAAGTTGTAGATCGCATTCACTGGAATACTCTCGCTTTTATGTATACTTTATACAGTCAATAAAGTGCGCCCTCTCTAATGTGATTAGTTTTTGTACTTCGCATCTCGCACAATGAGGTCGTTCGATTAGACTGAGATATGTTTGTTTAAGTGTCGAAATAAGTTTTTTTAACAAATTTGAAAAAATTCCTATGAAATATTATAATTCACAAGTGTCAATACTAGCAACGGAAAATATCATGTCGGCCGTTTTTATGTGTGATAACAGAACCTAAATAGAGGTAAGGCTAGGCTTAGCCTAGCAGCTTTGGATAGGCTAATGTTTTTGGCGCCTACAATATTTCTTCTCACAACCTATTGCAAAATCAAAAAAAAAAAATTCATCCGCATTTATTTTTTGTGTGGAACACAAAAAAAAAAATCAATTTTTAGTCTTTTTTTACATTTTTTTCATTCTTAGGAATGTCTAAATTTAAACTAGCAATTCCGTATTATATTTATAAATCTTTATAACATTATACAGAAATTAGATTTTTCTTAACAACTGAAATTTTGCCGGGAATGGGGCTTTAACATACTTTTACTTTGGTGCTGCAGTTACAACTTACTACCACAAAGAGTTTTTGCACTGATTCGCTGCATTCCAATTGGACCTTCGCCACCTCCACCTGGTCTAACTGCTGACACAGCCAAAGTGTAATTTGTATCCCACAACAACCCGAAAACAGTTCCTGACAATGTAGTATGAATTAGTGATTGTTTCCAATCAGTTTCAGCATTGCTAAGTCTATGATGAATAATGTATCCAATAACAGGTCCGTCTCCTTCATCAGTAGTGTTGTCCCACGCAGTCCATTTAATACTTATCGTAGAACTTGTAGTCATATTAATCTGTAGACTCCCATTGTATGAAGGCAATTCTTTTAAAAATTCAACGAAAGTCATAATTACATATTATCATATATTATATATATATATATACATTTATATACTTCTTTTATTCAGCTTCAGGCACAGGGCTAATGATATATCAAAAACTATGATCTTAATCACTCTCCAAAGTGGCAATCTCATCACAAGACAAACATACCAGTGGCAGATTCAAGGAGAGGGGGTGGGGGCATCTAGCTGCCCTGGGCCCCTCTAAATATTTAAAAATTGGAAAAAATTGGGAAAAAAAAAGAAAAATTGCATTCAAATTTTATGTCTGACAGTGCCATTTCCGGCCTTCTAGAGTTGACATAATCATAAATTTTCAAGCCCTCCATCTGCCAAAGTCAATCCCTGGGCCCCGTCCATTTCAAATTCCTGGATCTGCCACTGCATACACACAAGATGCTTTACAGAGACTAAGTCCCATTATGAGGCTTAGGGAGTGGAATTGTTCTGGTCGTGATAAAAAATCCTACAACACTGACAAAAATTGAACCTATGTCCCCAGCATCTTAACCACCAAGCCATTCAACTCCACTCCATAACAACCCAAATTAATAGTGGTGTTGCAAATGTACTGTATATAAATGTACTGTATATAATCAATCAATAGGATTGTAACCTCACGTAAATATCGATAGGTTGAGGAACTATTTTCAGGTCCAATAAACTCCAATCAAGTAAAGCCAGACAAACACTGCGCTTGACGTAAGTTGTTGATCGATATAATTACATTTAGAACACAACACTACGACGCATTGGACCATTTTTATGATTACCCGCTCATAGCAGACGGCGTCCTGTCATTAAGCGCTTACAGATAAGGGACGTGGAGTCATCGACTCTCGGTTAAATGACAGTCGTACAACGCAGTGTGAGCCTGGCTTTAAAGCAATAAATAGTCAACTACTTTTATACATTAAAATTCCACTTACCAAAAATAACATGAAGAATAGCGAGGTGTGCCGATTCATTCGCTTTCAATATTACGCATGTGTATGTCGAATCGATATCAGGCAAGACTGAGAATTTATATGACGTAATTTCTTGGCTATCTTGTTTCTGTGATGATGTAATATTTTCGCTGATGTCATCTTTCGTTGCCATAAGTATGACGTCAACCTCTTGCGCACCACCATGAAATATTGTACAGTAAACATCTGTCACATAACCATCATTTGCTGATAGAAATGTAGCATTAAGGATCCCTATGAATGTTTTATTTAAGATTGTGTAAGTAGTGTAATATACCAGATATGTACATATGACAAATTACTATTTATGTTTTATAATAGGCCACCTATAACGAACACCATGAATTTTACTTTATAATCTTTATAGCTTAAAAATCTGTTATTCATCCAAATGACGTTGTTTAATATAATAAATTAAGCTTCTCTATTAAGATGGTTAGTAAAAATATAGAAACGCAAAACTTAAATTGAAACAAAGAGTATGTTTGTATTGTCATTGTATATAATCTTAAATAAAGGTAAACATCTTATACTTAAAAATTACTTGGAAAATAGTGAACTTTTATTTAGAAAACAAATAACTTTTACTGACAGAAAACTTCACAACATTTCTAAGTTCCATAATATTGGCTGCTGCATTTCTTTTGATTTTCGTCCTACTGTATACTTTGTGTTTGATGATGTTGTTCAGAAAACAAAAGAAAATAACTTTTATTGTATCGCATTTCATTGTTTTAGTTTTGTAACAAACTGTTCAAAATTATTACCAAGTTCGCAATAGGGATGAAGCCAATTAGAATAACACGATCCCTTCACACACTTCCCCAATCTCTGGCATGACGTACATTTAGTAGACCTACATTCCAACTCGCAGTTCTCTCCATAAAATCCAGATTCACATTCTACAGTAGGTATTGGACAGTGAATGTTCCAAAATATAATTATGCTCACAATGTTGAAAATATAAATATGTATATTTATGTATTTCGATAAATATTAATCTACAAAAAAATAAAGATTGGCACAGCTAAACTAGAGCAGTCACTCTATAGAGTGCATACCTCCAACATGTGACTCAATACTGAGCAATAAGCAGGCCATGTATGGGAAATTCCATTATTTTCTTTTATGTTAGAGGGTAAAAAATTGATCGATTTCACTAAATTTTATGATCAATTCATTATATTTTGCATAATCTTGCTAACAGAAAGACAGGCAGCGGTGAATACATAACCCTCCTTGGCGGAGGAAATAATACGCTCTTCAAAAATCAAACAAAATTGTTTACAAAATTATCAAATTACTGCACTATGCAGATTTACCAGTCATTTTATCCAGTTAATATGGTAAAAGAAAGAATGTTATCCTATAATCAAAAACATGACTAGCTATTTTAATGTGCTTTTATGTAGGTGAGTGTGGGTATAGATATGGGCGGGGTTGGGCTTGTTTTGATTATTAATGTTAATTCACAAATTATAATTTGACATTCATTCTACAAAGAGTGTATTTAAAGATTACCCTGACAATTTGATCCTTTCCACCCTTCTGCACAAATGTTGCCACGACAACTTCCAGTTAACGAGTTACAAGAGCCTGCACAGTGGCACTGCATTGCACATCCTGCTCCATATCTTCCTGCTGGACAAACTGCCAATATTTATAATATCATATAAATATAATAATAGTTGTAATAGAATGTGTAAACTTTTATATCTAAAGTTACAATACACAGTGTTTGTTGCACATTCTAGTGAACATTTAAATGTCTATTCTTAATATCACTATCACATTTATACAGTGCATTTCATACATAGCACTAGCATAAGTGTCACGCCTCAAAAACCCACAGCAAGTATACGAATGACTCACTGAATTTATTTGGAAAATCTCAAATCACATGAAAAACAAGAACAAGATAATTCCAAAATATACACAATGATAGCAATAGCGACAGATACATACAAATCGATTTCTAGGTAAAGAATTGAGTGAATAAAAGGTTTATTAAGAAAATAAAAATATTTGAATTATATTAAAATGGTTCTTTAAACTAACTACCAAGTTATTCCCTTCTCCAACAGAATTTAATCAGATATTTATCTCAATTGTCTATATCCATCCTAAAGCCAATATAAATGTTGCAAGCAATAAAATAGCCGAAATTAATCATGGCCTTAAAAACAATCTCCCAAGTTCATTTGATCAATGGTAATGTGAAAGACATATGTGGCAAAGACAAGCCAAACCATTTACTTGTTGCAAAAATAAATTTTTAGTTAGTAATACAAGGTTAAAAAAAGTAAAATGAGAGCTTTAAAATGGTAAAAGAATCATTCAAATCTAATATTTCATTAAGAAGTTACAGGATTTTAAACATACAGCTGTCTAAAGAACAATATTTGAGAAATCAGCCTTCAAAGTTTACGATTTCAGGCATTTCTTAGTCATATATAATATAAAAGGCACTCAAGAAGCCAGAATTAGGAGCATCTGACCACAACATGGTATAATCTCATTCCAAAACATGCAGAAAGTTAAGCGAGAAAAGCCACTTAACAAGTGTGAAAATATGGAATAAGGAAAGTTTAAGTCCTCCAAGAGACAAAGAACACAGCTTAATATGATTAAGCTCTAAATGTCGTTTAGATGCACACACTCAAAATTATGTTTTATTGTCACTGACTTTAAGTTTATTATGAGTCATCCATTCTTGCTTAGAAGATTTACAGCAGACTGGAGATCAGTAGGATTGGAATCCAAATAGGGCATATGATCATCGGCATAGAAATGGAAATTAATGCTGTGGAGCCTAATGACATCTTCAAGTGGGCATATTTAAACACTGAAAAGTCATGGTCCAACAACGGAACCCAGTAGGTTCTGAACACATATTTTTAATGGAAACACAACTGCATTGATCATCTATACTACTAAAATAACATTTGTTTTTATCTGTCCACCAAATATCTCCGAAGGTATTTCAAGTACAATTATGATTTTCACACATGTTTTAGCTACCACCAATGGGACCAACGTTCGCTACGTACATTGGACTCGATTTTGTCATCCTATATGTATATTTTGGCAAATTTTACACATTTTCTTGCTGATTACTTCCAAATCTCTTAACTGTCGTGACATATGCATTGTGCCACCCACTTAGCCATAGGATATTGAGACAACACCACAACACACAAACAACGAACATGTCAGAGTTAACACGTTATTACATAGAAGATTAGGGTCAAGTCAGCTCCACCTACTAACATCTCTTATGTAAATCCATCAGAACATTATCCGGGCCCTATTTTGTCAGTTATAGGCTTATTTACCTTCTTTAATATCAATAAAAAACAGTTATCTCAGACATGCCCAACTGTATATGTTGCATTTTCACATGCAAAAGGGTACTACTCCAAATTTCAATGTATTATCAAAAAATGGACAATTCCTCACAATGACTATTTGGCAGAGACACTCACTCAAAACATTATCTACAAAGAGGTCCTTTAGAAAAATGAATGACAAGGTAACTACATAACATCCCCAATGATTGCCTTCTCAACTTTTCATAACATTTAATGATATGCCTCGCCACCTTTTCACACTCATTTAATACCGTGCACGGGTATATGCTAGTTAAGGTAACATTCAAACCGTACTTTAAGGCTTGTTTCGATAGTCCAAAAGAAGTATTCAGATGCTTGAGAATCAAGTGCTCAACTGTATCAAATGCAGCAGACAATTTAAGTCAAACTAACATGACACCACGTTGCCTGTAACTGCGGCAGCAATGTCCGTACACACCTTCAGCAATGCTGTGCTGGTACAATAGGAAGAACTGTTTGCAGATTCCAAAGGTACAGAAAGGTAAGCATGAAACTTCATTACAGCAGATTTCTCAGTGATTTGGAACAAAAACAGGTCTGTAGTTTTATCAATAATTCCTTTTTTTTTCTCCTTTCTTTTTTCATTATTATTTGCTCAATAAAAACATCAATATACACAAAGCAAATATTACATACATGAATATTGCATACGTGAATATTACATACATGAATATTACATACATGAATATTGCACAAAAGCCTAACATATGTAAGTACCATTTGAAACTTAACAATACAAAAAAAAAAAAAAAACATGCAAAAGGGTACTACTCCAAATTTCAATGTATTACTAACATCTCTTATGTAATCCATCAGAACATTATCTGGGCCCTATTTTGTCAGTTATAGGCTTATTTACCTTCTTTAATATCAATAAAAAACAGTTATCTCAGACATGCCCAACTGTATATGTTGCATTTTCACATGCAAAAGGGTACTACTCCAAATTTCAATGTATTACTAACATCTCTTATGTAATCCATCAGAACATTATCTGGGCCCTATTTTGTCAGTTATAGGCTTATTTACCTTCTTTAATATCAATAAAAAACAGTTATCTCAGACATGCCCAACTGTATATGTTGCATTTTCACATGCAAAAGGGTACTACTCCAAATTTCAATGTATTACTAACATCTCTTATGTAATCCATCAGAACATTATCTGGGCCCTATTTTGTCAGTTATAGGCTTATTTACCTTCTTTAATATCAATAAAAAACAGTTATCTCAGACATGCCCAACTGTATATGTTGCATTTTCACATGCAAAAGGGTACTACTCCAAATTTCAATGTATTACTAACATCTCTTATGTAATCCATCAGAACATTATCTGGGCCCTATTTTGTCAGTTATAGGCTTATTTACCTTCTTTAATATCAATAAAAAACAGTTATCTCAGACATGCCCAACTGTATATGTTGCATTTTCACATGCAAAAGGGTACTACTCCAAATTTCAATGTATTACTAACATCTCTTATGTAATCCATCAGAACATTATCTGGGCCCTATTTTGTCAGTTATAGGCTTATTTACCTTCTTTAATATCAATAAAAAACAGTTATCTCAGACATGCCCAACTGTATATGTTGCATTTTCACATGCAAAAGGGTACTACTCCAAATTTCAATGTATTACTAACATCTCTTATGTAATCCATCAGAACATTATCTGGGCCCTATTTTGTCAGTTATAGGCTTATTTACCTTCTTTAATATCAATAAAAAACAGTTATCTCAGACATGCCCAACTGTATATGTTGCATTTTCACATGCAAAAGGGTACTACTCCAAATTTCAATGTATTACTAACATCTCTTATGTAATCCATCAGAACATTATCTGGGCCCTATTTTGTCAGTTATAGGCTTATTTACCTTCTTTAATATCAATAAAAAACAGTTATCTCAGACATGCCCAACTGTATATGTTGCATTTTCACATGCAAAAGGGTACTACTCCAAATTTCAATGTATTACTAACATCTCTTATGTAATCCATCAGAACATTATCTGGGCCCTATTTTGTCAGTTATAGGCTTATTTACCTTCTTTAATATCAATAAAAAACAGTTATCTCAGACATGCCCAACTGTATATGTTGCATTTTCACATGCAAAAGGGTACTACTCCAAATTTCAATGTATTACTAACATCTCTTATGTAATCCATCAGAACATTATCTGGGCCCTATTTTGTCAGTTATAGGCTTATTTACCTTCTTTAATATCAATAAAAAACAGTTATCTCAGACATGCCCAACTGTATATGTTGCATTTTCACATGCAAAAGGGTACTACTCCAAATTTCAATGTATTACTAACATCTCTTATGTAATCCATCAGAACATTATCTGGGCCCTATTTTGTCAGTTATAGGCTTATTTACCTTCTTTAATATCAATAAAAAACAGTTATCTCAGACATGCCCAACTGTATATGTTGCATTTTCACATGCAAAAGGGTACTACTCCAAATTTCAATGTATTACTAACATCTCTTATGTAATCCATCAGAACATTATCTGGGCCCTATTTTGTCAGTTATAGGCTTATTTACCTTCTTTAATATCAATAAAAAACAGTTATCTCAGACATGCCCAACTGTATATGTTGCATTTTCACATGCAAAAGGGTACTACTCCAAATTTCAATGTATTATCAGAAAATGGACAATTCCTCACAATGACTATTTGGCAGAGACACTCACGCAAAACATTATCTACAAAGAGGTCCTTTAAAAACAAATGAGAAGGTAACTACATAACATCCCCAATGATTGCCTTCTCAACTTTTCATAACATTTAATGATATGCCTCACCACCTTTTTACACTCATTTAATGCCATGCACGGGTATATGCTAGTTAAGGTAACATTCAAACCGTACTTTAAGGCTTGTTTCGATAGTCCAAAAGAAGTATTCAGATGCTTGAGAATCAAGTGCTCAATTGTATCAAATGCAGCAGACAATTTAAGTCAAACTAAAATGACACCACGTTGCCTGTAACTGCGGCAGCAATGTCCGTACACACCTTCAGCAATACTGTGCTGGTATAATGGGAGGAACTGTTTGCAGACTCCAAAGGTACAGAAAGGTAAGCATGAAACTTCATTACAGCAGCTTTCTCAATGATTTTGGAACAAAAACAGGTCTGTAGTTTTATCAATAATTCCTTTTTTTTCTTTCTTTTTTCATTATTATTTGCTCAATAAAAACATCAATATACACAAAGCAAATATTACATACATGAATATTGCATACATGAATATTACATACATGAATATTACATACATGAATATTGCACAAAAGCCTAACATACGTAAGTACCATTTGAAACTTAACAATACAAAGCAAAGAAAAAAAAAACCCTCTTTTTTGTACCATCATAAATTAAATACTGTATACATTATATTATTTTTTATTATTTTTTAAAACAAAATACATTTTATTTTTGTATTAAATTACAAAATAATTTAGATTAACCTTTAGATAAACTATTTTAACTACCTGATATTGACATAACAAATGAAATTGTGGAGTTTGTGGAGAGAGGAGGAAAACTCAGCCATTTCATAAAACTGATTGATTAAAAAAAAAAGGAGATATTTAACATTTTTTTGTATATACTTTTTTTTTATTCCCTATCCAACTTTGAATTTCATATTAAAACATTTTTATATTGTACTGTAATTTTTCTTACTTCCGAGACAGTTAAAGCCTCTGAAACCTGTAACACAGCTACATCCGTAAACAGGCAAACAGAAATGATATCCTCTACATGCATAACTTCTATTTCTTCTTGAACATCTGTGTCTACAGTCAAATCCAAGCCAATTTCCACCGCATCCTGAATATTTGATGTAACAGATAATATTTTAAGATGTCATATTTCTCATTTCATAAAATAATCAAAAATATTAATGGTTCAAAATATATAACAAATTATTTCTTGACGTTTCTTCACATAAAATGCAAGATTTGAGGAGAAATATAATTTTTAGGCAATTTTGACCCTGGCTTTCTTTTTAAACTCTTTATGAAAAATGATATGACAAGTTCAGAAATAACGAAGCATTATAATAATAATAATAATAATGATGATGATGATGATGATAATAATGATGACGATGATGATGATTATGATGATGATAAAACACCAAGGACGACGACAGCAGCCTGAGATGTCAGTAGCAACTACAATGACATCAACAATAACAATTATAATAATATTTAATAATAATGATGATAATACAGTAATAATGATAACGACAATGTCAATGTTAAAGAATGCAGACACTTCAGAAAAATAAGTAGGGGATTGTCTCCCAATCACCAACAGAAGACTCTACTGGAAATAAGTTTTCAGACTTTCGTGGGATATCCTTTGTGTTCACACCAAATGAATCCAATTTAATCCAATGTGATTTCATTAATTATTCAACTTGCATTAAAAGTTACCGTATCATTTACCTACCAGTTCCACAGGAGGGCCCCGTAAATCCTGGTGCACAAATACAAAGTCCTGTTTTATCATCACACACGCCACCATTATAGCAGTACTCACAGTCGCCTGTACACTCAGGAGGACCCCATTTGTGACGTGGACACGCTTAAGTAAACAGAAAAGAAGATGTTGAAACTTACTGAAACATTTTCTGTCCCCCTTATTCGTGTTAATGTGTGTACATGTAGTTATATTTATACCAGACTGCATGTTCAATACAATTTCATCTTTGAATATTATCTGTTAACGTTGATATTTTTTCCATGGTTACACCAAATATCGTTCACTTGTTCTTGGGCTGGAGCTTTGAACCCTTTGGTTTGGTTTGGACTGTTGGCTTTTGTTGTTTCGACTGCAATAGTTTGCAGCCAATACTGGATTCCCGGGTTTTCTTTGGCAAACCTCACATTAAGGAAGTCCTCAGGACAGACGAAAGACGAAAAAAATATTGGTGCCTTTAAATAAAAATTTGTTTCCACAATACATCAACCGTGTGTGATTTTATTATCAATGTCTATACCGTATGTTAACTATGTCAGGTTTAACTACGTCATGAGGTATGACGTGAGGTTCACATGAGGTTACATGAAATAAAATGGAATTTGTTCACTTGAGGTAAATTGTCATTGTATTTCTTTTATTTATATTCAGCTGTTGCATTCGTTTCATGGTAGCTGCAGAGCAACGTTACGATCTTCGGACTTCTGGGTTATGGGCCCAGAGGTCATGTGATCATTTCATGTGGTCTATGTCATGAGGTATGACGGTGAGGTCGATAGAGGTCACATGAAATTTCTTTTATTATAATCGGCTGTTTCACAGTATTTCACTGGATGCATATTTACTGCTTACAATATTTTATTAAAATCAAATAATAAATATTAT